ACTTATAGAATGTTTGAAATGGCAAAAATAAGTTGCTACAGGCAGGAGGACAGTTTGTTTTAAACAGATAAGGTATAAAACAACTTAAAATGCTGAAAGCTGCAGCAATCTTCTAAATACTGTGTTAGTAAGTCTGTTCCTCTTAGTATTGTTCATATTGAGTAAAATACAGCAAGAGTGATTCTATGTCTCATGTTCACAGTAAGGAATACATTTCACATTGCCACCCAGTATACTTGTGTATGCAAATAACTCGGATTTCATGAAGCATTATTTACAGGAACCATAAGCAATGTACTGTCTCTACTACTTCTGTTCTGTTCTGTTCTATTCCATCTACCCCACCCCACTCTACTCCATTCATTTCCATTCCAGTTTTTAAAAGCGCTTTTTTATTATCTTCTAAGTTGATTTCGTAACCCACTGGTAGATTGATACTTGTAGTTTGAAAAGAGAAAAACTAGATTATAGGTTCAGGATCTCTTTCTACTATGTTAATTTTGAGATGAACTAAAGGTTATGAAATCAGCTGGATTATTATTCTGGACACCATTCTTTATTCAATTTCACCATGAAATGTCCTCATTGGTACAGGTTAGTACAGTTCAGTTAGTACAGTTAGTTAACCGTTAGTACTTTTATCACAGATCACAGAAAACTAGAACTAGAAGAGACCTCAGATAGAGATTATCTAGCTATCCCTTCCCTGCCCGTGGGTTGTTTTTTTTTAAAAAAATATTTCATTATAGAAACTTTCGAGCATATTCAAAAGTAGAAGAGTAGAACGAGCCTCATATGTTCATCACCTCTTCCTTATTGGATTATTTTGGAGTAAATCCCAGATCTATCATTTTATCTGTAAATACTTTAGTATGTATCTTTAAAAGGTAAGGAATCTTTTTTAAAAAAAGCATATCCAGAATATCCTTACCACCCCCCAAAAATAACAGTAATTCCTAATGTCATCGAATATCCTGTCAGTATTCACATTTCTCTGAGTGTGTCATAATGTTTTAAAAACTAGTTTGCATTAGGAACTGAAGTCTATGCCTTATATTTGATTGATACATCTCTTTAGCCTCTTCATCTATAGATCTCGTCCTTTTTTTCCTTGTGTGTGTGTTTATTGTTGAAGAAATCGGATTGTGTAGAAGTACCCATATTATGGTCATTTAACATATTTCTCTGTCCTTTGTGTTTCCAGTAAACTGGTAGTTAGATTAGGAGGCTTGATTAAGTTTTGGAATATTGGCAAGAGCGCTACAAAAGTGTTTTGAATTTCCTCTTGTGTGACATCAGGAGGCAAAAGATGTTTGGTTGTCTTGCCTTTTTGTGATGTGAAGATTGATTGGTGACTTCCCGTCTTGTCACGTGACCCATTATTAAATTCCGCATTGGCTTTCCATCTCATGGATCATCCATTGATAATATTTGGGTTGATCCATACTCTGTTAAGGGTTTCAAAATGCTAATATTCTAACTCTAGCCTTTTGTATTTATTAGCTGAAAATTTCTATAGAGAAGAACTTTACCTTAGTTAACTCTTTCATTGCCTGTGTTACTATTTGGTTGTAAGGAAAAGCAGGATAAATGCATGACTATTTTTTTCCCCTTTATCTTCAGATTTTTAGAATAATAATTCTTTAGACTCCTCCAAAGGTGACCTGTGAGCTTTTGGTTTTAATTTTTCTTTTGAGTGTTATTATGAACTGACGGATTTAAACATTTTTGATGGACTTCACACCATTGAGGTTATTATTCTATTTGATGCTCAAATTATCCTATCTTTGGCCAGTGGAGGGACTTTCAGATTGGCTCTAGAGACCTTCTGACATGGTCCCAGGAGTCTTTGAAACTTCAGGCTCCTCTAGCACATTTTAAGCCCCAGACCCAGAATCAGCTATGTCTCCAAGGATTGCCCAGCTTTTTGAGTTCTCAGATGAAGAAATGAAGTGACTTGATGGAAAGATGCTCGTTGGAAGACTAATCTTTGGGTCAATGCCCTTTTCCCTATCTCCTGCTGCCTCTACAGGACCGAAACAGACATTGCTAGTTGCCTTCCCAGCAGCGGACCCCTCCCCTTTTCCTTTTGTAGATTACTTTTCTCATGTAGGTATAGGTTCTTAACTGCCAGATACTATCCCAGCTTCCTGTGATGCTTGGGGTTAGCCCTGGGTCCTGATTTGGACAATGAGATATAAGAAGGATGCTGGGAGCTTATTTAGAATTAGTTTGTAATTTTACTTTAAGAAATGGGTATTTTTCTTTTGAATTTTTTTTTTTTTTTTTTGCTGAGGCAGATTCGCCCTGAGCTGACGAGTGATATAGGTCCACACCCAAGAACCAAATCCCGGCCGCTGAAGGGGAGCGCGTTGAACTCTACCACTAGGCCACGGGGCCCGCCTCTGAAATTTTTTTCAATATTATATTTAATTTTTAAAAAACCATTCAAGACTGCTCTTCATTTTCCATGCTTATGGAGACTACAAGTGGTCTAGATGATGAAAAACAATGGATAGTTTATAAATCATCCAGTTTCTTTTTGGAGTCCTCTAAATGATCTTTGCAGAGACTGATGTATCTCTCTAATGATGTTTAGCCCTGGGTAATATCTAATAATTATAATAGCTAATAAATAGTGCTTACTTTGCACCAGGAAGTAGTCTAAGAGCTTTCATCTATTAACTCACTTAATCCTCAAAATGACCCTATTTGGTAGCTATTATTATTGCCCTCAAATTATAGAGGAGGAAACTGAGGTAGAGAGATTTATGTGACTTATCTAAGATCACACAGCTAGTAAGGGGGAGCCAGGATTCCAAACCAGACACTCTGGTTCCAGACTAGATTAAAATTGGCTTCCATTTCCAGAGGACCAGATAGAAGATCAGATGGAAGTGGGCTAGAAATGTATTTAGAACTGGTTTTAAAATATGTGGTACTTCATTAGCATATTTTGTGGCTTCTGTTTAAAAATAGTACATTTGGTCATGTTGCTACAATCAAATGTAGGAACATTTCTTAGATATTTAAAATTACAAGCAGCTCAACAACATGTTGATTTGATGTTTCATATTGAAAAAATTGCATGGGAAATAAAACCCAGTGGCATCACATGAGGCAATTCAGATAATTTTCCTAATACAGATGAAAATGCGGCATACACTTTCTTAGCAATAGAAATTTGTAAAGTTCTGACAAGCTCACGAGTATAAAAGAAGCTAATAATACTATATATTTCAAATAAGTGTTCTCTGTGAAGATATATCATTTTAACCACCTTAACATTAGGCACATTGCTGAGAAATGTGGTAGTGAAATGGATGACAAGGACACCAGGTAACTTTGTCTTAACTTGTAATGATACAGGCAGACTTACGACTCAGGTCACCTTGCTCTTAATTTACCGCTGTCTTCTGGGTCTCACAAATATGTGTTAGTCCTAGAAAGAAGGCATGTCTCTTTCCACAAACCTTCAGTTTTTAAGTTTTAAACATACTCTACTATTTTTCTTAGAAGTTAGCATTAAAATACTATTTGTGGTATTCATTTAAAAATTATGTACTATTAATATTTTCGAGAACAGCAGAATAAGGACAGCTACTTCTGCTCTTTGGTTTTGTGTGTGGTAGTAACTGCTCACGCAGAACCTTGAGAGAGAAGCGTTTTGACCCAGCAGAAAGTAGTGGAAAGAGAGAGTTAAGAGGTCCAGATACCAGACTTGACTCTGGGACACTGAGCAGGTTTTCCAAGTTTTACTGCAGTTCTGTTTCATCATATGTAAAGTAAGGGGTCTGGTCAGATCAGGGTTGTGTACGCACACAGGCCTCATGCTGTAGGTTCAGCTCAGACTTTCCCCACAGTTCTTTTCGAGGCATTGTGTACAGGTGGTGCCCACGGTCTGTTAGGGTTGATCCCAAAGATGAAACCAACCTCATAGGACTGAACGTAAGGTAAGGTGGTTCCTCTCTCCCACCCCTTTCCAAAATCTTACCTCAAAAAATATAATTATATTTGAATTGTTACAAAGTCTCCATGAGGCACTTCATTTTGAACAGTAAGCTGCTGTTCGAGAAGACACAGCCTGAAAACTCAATTAATGGTAGTTTTGCATGCATGTGGAAGGCCCTGAAAGAATCTGTAAAAAAGGAGACAATGGCATTTCGCACTGATTTGGTAATTATTTCTGGGGGCCTAGCTTCATAATCTGAATTGTTGGGTATCATAAATGAGTCTTTTGAAGATGACTTTAAAAAGCGGCAAAAAAGTGGCACGCTAAGGGCTTCTCAAATTATCTATGGTCACGGACCAGTTTTTTTTTTTTTAATTTCCTATTTGTTGCCAAATGATATTTTTGGAAAATACAGTAAAAAATTAATTATTAGAAAAATGTTGTAAAAAAATGACCTACAAAATAGAAACCAAAATTCAATAGACAAAGTTAGTTTGCCTAATTGTTACGAAAGCTTCTAAAATAATCTCTTAATTTTTGCAACAAATAGTTTGTAGTTTGACATTGACCACCAGCCAAACTGAGCGGCACTCTGACAAGTGGTTATGTTGTAGAAGTCACAAATGTACGTATACAGGATGGGGGAAAACGTGATCTTTCCAAGTATCCTGAAAATCATGGGGTGGGGGAGAGGATGGTGGTTAGTTATGCTTTAGAGCAGAGGTTAGTGCGCTGTGGGCTCTGGGCCAAATCTGGCTAACGATCTGCTTTGTAAGTAAAGTTTTATTGGAACACCGCTATACCTGTTCATCTGTGTTTTGTCTACAGCAGACTTGGGTAGTTGCAACGGAGACCATATGATCTGCAAAGCCTAAAACATTTACTGGGAGGTCCTTTATAGAAGAGTTTGACAACAGCTGCTTTACATTTGAAAATGACTATTGTGAATGATCGCTACGTATATAGTGCTTGCTTCCTTTTTGTTTCTGACTAAATTATCTGTGTTTAAATGCATTATACATGTTATTGTTTGCCTTTTTCCCTCCAGTCCCTGATGTACCTCAAATAAGTTTGGAGAGAAGTAAAGAAAATGAACGGATCGATAAAGATCAGAAAAAGAAGAGGAAAAAAAAGCAAAAAGATTATCAACCGAACTATTTCCTATCTATTCCGATTACCAGCAAAGAGGTGCTTTTCTTAAAAACTATTTTTGCTATAAAGTTTTATTCTAAATTATATTTAAGGTACACTAAATGCTTGTGAGCCCATTTGTTCTCGGCTTTTAAGAGTCGTGGTGGCGTTTTAGCTGGGCCATATAGGGAATAGTCTTATTTAAATAATAGAATATATTTAAACAATAATTTTTTTCTTTTTTGAGGAAGATCGGCCCTGGGCTAACATCTGCCAATCCTCCTCTTTTTCCTGAGGAAGACTGGCCCTGGGCTAACATCCATGCCCATCTTCCTCTACTGTATATGGGACGCCGCCACAGCATGACTTGACAAACAGTGTGTCTGTGTGCGCCGGGGATCTGAACTGGCGAACCCTGGGCCGCCCCACCGCAGCAGAGCACGTGCACCTAACCGCTTGCACCACCGGGCCGGCCCCTAAACAATAATTTTGAAAAACATTGTTTAAACAATCACATTTAAACAATTTTGCAAAAGCCATTTGAAAAAGTGTTGCCAGAGGCATGCTGAAGATTCTAAGCATTTGTTCACCATAATGGACGAGCCTTTCAGAAGCAGAGAGCAGTGACCAGGTAGGAAAAGAGGATTCTGAAATTCCTGCTGAGAAAGTAAACTGGGATTTCTTGCTGCTTAGTCCTGTTTATGGTAATGATTATTGCAACATCGTTTCTGTAAAAATTACTCATTGTACCAACTTAATATTGCATGATAAACTTGGTAGAACTCTATTAAAAATCTGAAAAATTAATGTGGTTTGAATAACAGGAAATGGGAGCAGCCAATTGGCTCACACTAAGAACCCCTCCTATGTGGCTGAGAGAGAAAACTACAGTATCTAATTAAATTTGCAGTGAGGTAGGAATTAAAATGCCTTAGGAAAGAACTCCTCACTTGAAAGACTCTTTTTACATCTTGGCCCAGTTTAAGATCCAGATCTGAATTCTGTTTGATTGTGGGCTGTGATCTTTTTTACTAGGCACATTTTCAGGTTGCTTCTCCCCTTAACTAGAATGTTCCTATGGAATGCTGATGAATTTTTAAAAATCAAAGCAAACGAAATTGAAATCAAAGAAAGAAATATCAAAAGAAAAAAAATAAATTCCATTGGAGCATTCTCGGAAATAATCTAGTGTGTGAGATACAGTTTAGCTGGGGAGAAAAGATACATGGAAAGAGAAATTGTGTTACCTAGCAATACCAGATTTTAGAATTTGTTGCAGTAAAGAGTCATATTCTGGGGCTGGCCCAGTGGCGCAAGCAGTTAAGTGCGCACGCTCCGCTGCGGCGGCCTGGGGTTCGCCAGTTCATATCCTGGGCGTGCACCAATGCACCGCTTGTCAGGCCGTGCTGTGGCAGGCGTCCCATATAAAGTGGAGGAAGATGGGCATGGATGTTAGCCCAGGGCCAGTCTTCCTCACCAAAAAAAAAAAAAAAAAAGGATTGGCAGATGTTAGCTCAGGGCCAGTCTTCCTCACACACACACAAAAAAGGCATATTCTGATTTTACTGGTACGTTCGGGTTGGCTAACAGTAGAATAGTCCTTAAAACTGTTTGGGTGATACAAATTTTAATGTAATCAGCAATTATATATTATATTAAAATACTTGTGAGTTGTTTGGACAGATTTTCTTTGAAGTATAGGGACATGTGTGCATTTGGGAATTAGAAGAGAGCGGAAGGCAGAGGTGGTGTTGCTTAGCTGAGCAGTCAGACGGAGCAGGTCCTGAGGAGACTGGATGTGAAATAGGCCGAGTGACTTCCCCAAGGACACGGGATTTGTGATTGGAAGAGACAAGAGGTTCTTTATTTTGATTTGTTGCGTAGAGATTGTTCCAGTAGAGTCTATCAGTGTAGAAGTTTGGTAGACACTTCTGAGTTGCTGTGAGTAGGCCCTTCTCTGTCTGTCTCCATCACACCTCCATTCTGGCTCCCAGGGTAGTCTCAACAGCAGCTCTGCATCAGTCTTTCAGCCTGCCCCACCCCCTCCTAGTCCTAGTCTCACCTCTTCCAGTGAAGACTGGTGGGGTGATGTGATGGGGTAGGGCAGGTGGGGAAGGGGACTGAAAGGAAGGAGGGTAGAGAAATTCTTTCCTTCCCCCACTTCGTTCAGGATTGGGGCCACAAAGGTGAAGGGAGGAAGGGGATGAGAGAGAACTGTCTGTGACTCTTAGTTTTCTCCCTGGAAGCTGCTGTAGCCTTTGTTTCTGCTTCTCAACTCCTGGGAGGTTGTGTAGAAAGTGGGAAGAGTGCAGGATTTGGAGTCGAGCAGACCTTGTTCGAATACCGGCCTGGTCACAAACTCCACTGTGGCTGTAGGTCAGGTTACCTAATTTCTGTAGCTTCAGTTTCAGGTGTGAAATGGAGGTGATCATGACTATTTTCTCAGCCCAAATCTGGCCATGTCACCTACTTGCTTATATGCTTCAGAATTTTCCCATTGATAGTAGGATAAAGACAAGGCTGTCCCGTGTCTGTGAGGTTCTGCGTGCTCTGGCCTTCTCCACTTCAGCCCTTGTTCCTTCTGCTTGAGCCCCTCTTGGCCTTCCTTGAACTTGCCAGTTCCCTCTGCCCCAGGGAAAGCCTTCTCTGACTGGGAGTTTCCTTTCCTCTCCTCTTGGTTTTGTTAATGCCAAAATCTCAGCTCGAACCTCTCCACCCTGACCAGGTCACCCCCGCCCCCCAAAAAAGACTCATAGTTTTCCTTTTGTCATTTGTCATCCTTGCAGTTTGATGCTTGTTCGTCCTCCTCACCAAGTTTTTTAGCTCATTCCCAGTACCTAGAGCAGAGCTTGGCAAGAGGAGGCACACACACAAAATGCTGTCATTTCAGAGTGGATGATGTGTTTCTGGCACACCAAGTTACAACCAGAGCATTACAGATAATAAATCCAGTGTTACAAATGCTCGTTTCATAATATAGGTTCAATGGCAACTTGTTTTCCGGGCGACAGGGTGACTTGTAATAGTGGGGAATACAGTTTTGAAGTAACCTGGAAACCAAATAATTTAATGTTTCCCTCTCAGAGACTTGTTTGTGGGTAACAGAAAGCTTGGGTAGAAATATGGGAGGAGAGGTAGGAATGAGACAAGATTAGGAGACACAGTTTATATCTTTTGTATGAGAGCCTTTTTTGTTTGTTTTGAAGTATCTGATGTTCATTTGCTTTGTAAACTACTTATGAGCCACTGGGGGAGGGCCTGGGAAAGTAGTGGCATTTATAACATTGTTTCAATGGGAACTGGATTCCAAGTTCCACCAGCGACCTGCAAACAGGCTCTGGGAGCCCGCACACTCACAATGAGCTGCTCTACTTCTGGCTGCCACTCGTTGGCATCTAGTTTTAAAGAAAAAAAGTGTTCAGACTGACATGGGTCTTTGATTTTTAAACACATTCTTAGATGTTTGGAACTCCTTATTAATGGAAATTCGTGATTTTTAAGAAGTAGAATTGGAAAATGAATTATGATGGCTACGTAAAAATATTCGAAGTGCAAATATGTGAACATATTTACGCTCCATTACCTATAATTACCCATTGGTTTAAAAATAAAAATAAGAAAAAAATTTAATGGAGTTATGATAAATCCTAAATGGTTCTTAACTGGCTAGAATTGTTTACTTAGTTCTGGTTGGATTTACTCATATGTTGGTTTTATACGCTTTCTTACGAGAAGTAATAATATAAGGTAAGTCAGTATTGAAAAAATGCACGGGAACAATCAGAAGCTGATTGAAATTAGGAGTGTATTAATTTTTTCTTTAAGATAATGTTGTTATACTAATGGCAAAATATGATTTCCTTTGGGGTTTTAAAAGGCATTTGTTACATTTAATTCTGTATTTTGCTATTTTGTAACGTGAAAATTATTGGTCTTATGAAGATATGAAAGTAGATTTGTGCATTCTGTTCCTTTCTGGGGAATGTAATTGTGAAAGTATTTGATATCATGTAAGCTGAGCACTTTGTAGATATACAAAATTCTCCTCCTATTTCGGGATGATTTTTCACTTTACTCTAGTTATTGCTATATCATCAAGTTTTCAAGTTCTCTTCATGATTGTAGACAAGCAAGAAAAATGAGAGTGTTCAGCTTTGAAGAAAAGTTAGGTAGCAAATTGATGTGATAATTCTATTAAATCTTAATGAGGCAGCAAATTTAGGAACAATATGTGTTAGTTTAGAAGAATTCTAAAAATAATGTCAAAGGATGAAGTCAAAGACATTCTTCTACTGTGTGCTGAAATGAAACGACTCACCCTCAGGCACACTAACTTTAAGCCATTTTCTTTGAATTCATATATGCTTTGAATCAATTAGAAAGCTTAAAAGATAGGAAAATGAATTTTCTTACTGTGTTATTTTTGGGCATGTGGAATATGGCTTAGTGGTGAAGTTTAGCAGATGGGTGTCTGTTTTTATTCTCTAAATACAAAGAAATTACTCAATGAATGAAATATTTAAGATTTTAATAAAGCTTTTATTTTTGAAAGTTTCTGTCAATGTCACATTTAAACGTTAAGTTTTAAAAATGTGCGTTATGCGATACTGCCAATGGCTGGGGATTATGATCACAGATAAGCTTTAATGGCTTTATAGAATTTTAAACAGTGGCTGTAAAAATTAGTTTCCTTTGGCCTTTAATGACAGTGGAACTTTTTAAAATGACATACAGAGAAGACTCTGAAGTAGTTTTCTTTTTATCTTTTAAGCATGTAATTAGAAATAAAAAGCACATAAAAAAATCTTAAGATGATATCAAGGAATATATAAATTAATCTGCAGCATCAAAGCATAATTAGAACTATATTACTTGATTAGATTAGTCTTTAGAATTTTCATAGGTTAAGGTTAATCCTGCATTATAAGTACTGTGTGACTTCAGAGAAATAGTCTTCAAAATGTTTTACAGTTTTTAATTTGCAATTTTATAAGCTAATGGATAATTCAAAGATACGAATGGTCTAAAACTATTTTACCATGTAGAACATTGCATTAAAATGCTGACTATACAAATGGCTGGAATTTTTTGAGCTTTGCCCTGGATTTATATATAGTTAGTATTTGAGCTTAGAATGAAGACTAAGTTTTCATGAAAGTACGAATACTCTACCCACAAGCTGCAAGTATAGCAGACTCCGAGTTGTGACAACCAAAATGTCTCCAGGCATTGGCACATGTCCCCGGGAGGCAGAATTGCCTAGAGTAGAGAACCACTGACTTTAACGATATTGGCCATATTGCATACCTTATATTAGGTAAATTATATTTGTAGAGCTTACGAAGTACTTTCATGTAGCATGTCTACTTTTAACACAACCCTGTACATTTGGCAATGCAGTTTTATTATTCCTGTCTTACAATTGAAGAAACCAAGAATCAGTGAGACTAGAGACTTATATGGGGTCACACCTGTGGCCGACCTGGAATTAAAATCCCAGATTTCTGACACAAGTCCAGCACCCTTAATTTGCATCACTCTGTATTATAGAAAAAAGTTCTAATCCTAAATCACTTTTTCATGATCGGTTACACTGGGATTACCATTTGTACTAGCTAACATTTGAAGATGTAATAACATTGTTTTGAGGTGTGACATTTTTGAGCACCTGTGGTTTCCTTGACACTGGGCTACGTCCTTTCCGTTTGAACCCAGACTGTCTGGCTGCTTTGTTATTCCTGAAAGCCAGTCTTAGCACACTTCATTGCACCTGGAAAACACTCAAAAATTCAGATTTAAAATAATTGCAGAGTAATATAGACTTACAGTAAGGGCTTTTTTGAGAGGGCCAGTGCATTCCATTCCACAGTCTCTAGTCAGACTTCCTAAAAATCTCCGTTAAATGTCTTCTTTCCGTCGACGTTTCATTTCTTGGTCAGTACCCACATCTCTGCCCCTCTCCTTGTCCCCTCTTGAAAGCAAACAGATTCCTTGTAACTCTTACGCCATCGCTCTCTAGCTGCTTCTCCTCCTCCTGCTCTCCCCTCCTGCGTCTTTTCTTCCAGATACTTCCTGCATTTTTTCTCATGTGTTGAATTTATTCTCTTTGCTGTTTTGGGTATATAGTCTTGAAGAGATTTTTTTAGTCTTCTGTCTTTCAGTTTATTTTAGTGGAGATAATACCAGTGTCTACCTCATAGGATTGTTGAGAAGCTTCAGTGAACTAAGATATGTAAAATGCTCACTGTAGTCCCTAGACCCTAGTGACCACACAACAAAGGTTAGTTACTGCCCCTGTTGTTTAAATATTGTTTTTATTTTTATTACCAGGCACTGTGGTGAGTTGGTGGGTAGAAGAGATAGACGTTGCCCTCGAGGAGTTTACAGTTTAGTTTTATCCATATAGAAGAGCGGAAACAATAACTCTATAAGATCTTTGTGTGCTGTTGTGTTAGGAGTGTTTTATTAACAGGCTATCAATATTCTTCTGTTGGGCATCATAGAAGTAACTTCTTGCCTTGGGAAGTATTGTGTGAGGTGATATTGTGTAACTTCCTACCAGGAAAACTGCTGTATGCTGTGTTGCTCGCCTCCAGATGGCCGGGAATAGAGAAACGCTGAGGTTGTTTTGGGTTACGTGGACTTATTGTGGAGACCCATGGGAAGTCACATCCAGGACAGCATCTCATGATTTGCCCAGTCACATTCCACAGATAATGGGCACATTGTTCAGGATAAAACAGCTACTGTGGTGTCAGAGCAGTCTGCTATGCTCAGGATTCAGTTTTTTCTCATCTCTGCTGTCTTTTTATGGACTCTGCTTCTATTGCCTGCCCCACCTCTTCTCCTTTTCTCTCTGGCTAATTCTGCTGCCTCTGGGCTTCTATGACCTCAGGGTTCTATTCCCTCTCTTTTCTCTGGGTGTGGCTCAGTTTGCTATTTCATATTCAAACTGTTTTCCAATACACTCACATTTAGAGGTTGACTAGAAATGGATCTCACTGGAAATGGAGAAGGGAAGAGGCCTCCTTCCTCTTGTTGGTTCAGAGTAGACAGGGGAAGGCTGCTGAGGGAGCAGGGAGCTCCCCTTGGATGCAGACTTTAATGGTTTTCCTAACATATGTGTTTGGACTTCTTTGCAACTCTCCATGGTTATTCCGCTCCTCACATGTCTAGAAAAATGACAGGAGTCATTCCTGTTGAAATTATTGCTGTCCTAAAAAATCTTAAAGGCCACTAAGAATGGGTTCTCAGACACATTCACTTGGGGACAAATAAATATTACTTCCAACAGAAAGGGAATGTTGTCTGCTGGTTTGACCTTTCTGTGGCAAGAATAAAGCTTTTTTTTAGGAAAGATCATAATTATAGTGAGTCATACCATGTATTCCAAGGACAAGTTTCTGAAAAGATGCATGGCCATTGAGAGTTTTTCCCATCAACTGGTGACCTAATCTGTAAAATAAGGGTGTTTGGCTCAGTGCTCTTAAGATGGACAAGCGTTGTGTGCCTTTTTATCTTATATGTCCTATCAAGCTTTCCATGTTATCTATTCAGGATATTTGAGAACAAGTAGACAATTAAACATTGTTTGGTTGAAGAATCTTGACATTGTTCTAATTTTGGTTGTTGCTTATTTTTCTTCTTGATTTACATTTTGCCATAAGGAAATTTTGCTTACCTAATCTCTGTTTTGTGTTTTTGTGTGTGTGTGATTAGATTACAAGAGGAATTAAGATCCTACAAAATGCAATAATAGAGCAAGACAAACAACTGGCCAAAGCCATGATCAGTGATGGTTCTTTTCATGTTACCTTGCTTGTGATGCAGCTGTTAAATGAAGATGAAGTATACAAGTGAGTAATATGTTTTTCTTGAGTGTTGTTTTCCAAATTATTACGTTAGTATGAGTAAACATAGCAGAATCCAAAGAGGCACTGAAATTCTAAAGAAGTCTTCTTGATTATAATTTATTCCAGTTGATAGTCAATGTGCAGAATTAGCTATATAAATATTCTTCTTAACCTAGACTTTTTAACTGTGTTGTTACAAATGGTAGCCCTTGCTCATGTGGTTGTTTTGCCCATGTTAATTATGTAAACACTCTGGAGTCTGACCGTTTAGTTCAGGAGTCTAGCATGGCACAACTACCTCATATTAGCTGCCTGATTTTGGGCAAATCATTTACTTTTTCAGTACATGGAGAAAATAATGGTACCAATACATGTAAGAGCTCTTAGTCTAGGGCCTGGCACATAGTAGCCAGTTGATATTATTAGCTGTTAGAAAGCTGCCGTTCCACTAGGCCAGTGGCCAGTTTCAGTTTGACCTCAGTTATCTCACAGTACGTGAACGCCCCGCTGCCGAGTCCAGAGTTGTCCAGAAAGGTTGAATGTAAGTCATTGATTGCTGCTTTTCAACCCAGAGTGGAGACACTTTGCTCCTACCCAGTTCTCTGGGATCCTCCGTCTGTACTCGGGATTGCTCCTTTCCCTGTTACCCTCTGTAGAGCCCTCTTGGTTAAGCTCAAGTTTATGCTCTTTGGAAAACCCAAGCTGGAAGGGGCTGCAGTTGCTTCTGTTTTCCATCCTGACGTGTATGTCTCCTAGGGAATGAAGAACAAGGCTTGAGTTGGGAAGGGGGTAGGAAAAGGGAAAATAAAAGGGAGAAAACAGTACATTAGTACCTTGACATGTACAGCCACATTATGATTCTTGTAGTTATGTCTTTTAAATGGTAGAACCTCCTGTCTTTAGAGATCAGTCTTCTGGTCTGTCCCAACCTGATCTCCCCAAGAGCAGGTCTGGAGCACTCTGCAGTGCCAGAGAGGGCTAGAAGATTTTACTTGACTCACTTTCACGAATCACTTTGCCAACCAGAAGGAAAAAGAAATACTCTGATGCTCTTTGAAGAAGAGAAGCCAAAGAAGACGTGACACAAGAGGATGAAAGCCTGGGAGAAAGGAGTGGTGCCCTGTGTGTGTTAGAATGGTGTATCAGTCAGGGCTCTCCAGAGAAATAGGGCCAATGGGGTGTATATCTACATAGATATGTAGATATATCTATATCTCTGTATAGCTATATCTATAGTTTTAGCTACACTTAGAGAGATTTACATGGAGGAATTAGCTTGCGTGGTTGTGGGGACTGGCAAGTCCAAAATCTGCAGGGTAGACTGGCAGCTGGAGACCCGGGAAGAGTTGATGTAGTCTCAAGTCCAAAGGCCATCTGGAGGCAGACTCTGTCTTCCTCAGGGTACCTCAGTCTTGTCTCTTAAGGCCTTCAACTGACTGGATGAGGCCCATCCACATTCTGGAGGATAATCTGCTCTACTCAAAGTCTACTGATTTAAATGTTAGTCACATATAAAAAATTCCTTCATGGCAACATCTAGACTGGTGTTTGACCAAAACCAGGTATCATGGCCTAAGCTGACAGATGAAACGAACCGACACAGTGGCAAGAGCAGGAGCAGATACTGAGCTGGTATAAGGGGCGGCAAGTCGGAGAGACCGAACCAGCAGTGAATTCAGAAGAACTTCAGTGTGGCCAGAGAAGCACAGACAGCATGGAGGAGGTTGTAGGTGGCTACTCTGAGGCTTGCTGTCCAGTGTGGGAAGGAGGATAAAGCCCCTGTGGTGCTGGGCAGAGTGAGCAAAGGCAGGGGAAGAAGCACAAAGCCAGCGTGAAGCGTGGCTCCCCTTGGGGTTGACTGTTCTCTCCACCCCCGGGCCCACCCGTGTTGGAGCCGAGAACCAGGAATGACAGAGACGCTCACATTGGTTTGGGGTTCTCAGGGTGTTGCTGGGGAAAACCTTGAGCTCTTCAGAAGTTCCTGTTCAGCTGATGCTGGAAGAATGTAGTGCCACCTACGTGGCAGGTCAGAGTCGGGGAAGATTTCTAAGAGATGGACCCGAGGGGGTTCCTTCAATTCCCCGTTGCCTATCAAGACATATAGATGGATCCAGAAATTTCCTTGTGCCCTGGTGGGTGGCCTTGGAAGTTCCGAGGGAGTTGGTGGAGAAGAAGAAGGTGGCTGAGGGACAAGGACACTGCTGAGTATCCGTGCTTGTTGATCAGAGACTCTGGCAGGGATCTGTGCTTCAGCAGAACATGCCAGTACAACGTCCAGAAAGAGGAAGCATGCTTCCGTGGACGCCAGCGTGGGGCACCCTGGGATACAACCAGACGGTCCCCCAAAACAGGGATCTCTGAGAACCCAAAGAGCAAGCAGACCAAAGACCTTCTCCAGGTCTCTTACAAGAGTGTGCCGGATTCCCTGGGAAGGAGGAGGGAGAGGGAAGGGAAAAACAATCCTGAAAGGAGGTTTGAATTAACTGAATAATGTACCCCAAGAAGACCTTTTTAAAGCAGAAAAGACTGTTACTATTGACTGGTAAATTTAGTTTTTATCTCCATCATCAGAAATGGATCTGGGCCACGGTGCGTATATTTCAGTCCATGCCCCTCAGCCACCATCCCCCACACAAATGTTATTCATTTTACTCCCTTCACAGTGTTGTGAGTCAGCACAGAAATGTCATCTCTCACACATATGAGGAAACCGAGTCCTAGGAGTTAAGCAAATGCCGGTCAGTGGAGAAGCCAGAACTAGTCAGTTTTCTTTGTTACTCCATGGCGCGGGCGCGCGAGTGCGTGTGATGGAGAGGCAGGGAGAGGGGCGGCCTGGGGCCAGGTATGTTTCTGATGTAATGTTTACATTTCTCAGTGGAGGTGGGACTGCCTTTTCTAGGAGATTTTTAGAAGATTTGGGGGGTATTTTTGGGGTCACATTACTGATGAGTGCTGTGGGCATCGTATGGGCAGGCGGCAGTGTTGCTAAACCACCTGCTGAGCAGGGGACAGCCCTGGACTGGAAGCATTATCCTACCCTAATTGCAGCCTCACTTGTTGAAGTTCCTGTGTAGAGCACAGGGACTCCCTGAGGTGTTCGGCCTGTGTTCCACCTTGTCTGTCTGCAAATACATTCCAGATTTGTGTAAGAATCTAGATGCTTAGCAAATCTACTTTGTGTTTGAAGAGATCCTGGGAGTAGTGTTTCTACTGAAAAATGATGGCCGGATACTTGCAGTTTAGTAATGACTCTTGACTAAGTTATAATGAAAAATCTAAGAAATAATTAAAGTTTGCTATACAGATAAGATGGTATTTTGCAATTCAGCCAACATTAATTATCAACCATGTGCAAGATATTGAGCCAGATGCTTTGGGGAAATAAAGACGAATCAGGAATGGATCTTGTGCTCGTGGATTGTACAGTTTAGTTGGTGAGATACCATATGAACCCAAATAACTATAGTAGAAGGTAAAAAGTGATATGTTTCATAAGATATAAAATATTAATGGAATTTCAAAAGAGAGATTTGCTTCTAGTTTGGGGAACCAGGGAAGTGTTTGTGGTGTCAACTTTTGAGTGATGGTGAGATTCAATGTGTGGCCTCACTTTGGGTGGATGTGTAGTGAGAGTGACATGGGTTGGGTTTTCTGGTAAGACATTGCTTATATGATGGATTTTCTAAGTCTATTTTCTAAGTTATTATTTTCATAATCTTTTAATTTTATCTTTCATCCTATTCTGTGTAGTATGCTAGATATCTAGAGTATCAGTTTCTTATTCTATATTCTTTTCAAAGTCTAGTATCATATTTTAGGTGTTTGATAAAGTATTGATCAATGGATTGGATATGGTGTGTGCAGAGACATTTAAAAAAAATCTATCGGGCCGGCCCTGTGGCTTAGCGGTTAAGTGCATGTGCTCCGCTGCTGGTGGCCCGGGTTCGGATCCCGGGCGTGCACTGACGCACCGCTTCTCCAGCCATGCTGAGGCCGCGTCCCACATACAGCAACTAGAAGGATGTGCAGCTATGACGTACAACTATCTACTGGGGCTTTGGGGGAATAAATAAATAAATAAAATTATTAAAAAAAAAAAAATCTATTACCTAAGGTCCTTTGTGTCCTCATGGTGTAGAAGACAGAAATAGAAATATATCAGGCCAAACTCAGCTGCTGATTTGAAAAGATGGCTGTCCTGTCTCAATTTGAAATACAACCTTTGGGTCTGAACTCCAGTTTCAGAATTCTTTTTCCCACAAGCATATACTTTTTAGTCGTTTGATCATAAAGAAGTCTTTCTATAAACTGCTCTTGAAAAGATGTTTTATTCACAAGAATTTGAAAGTTAGTGATACCAGTAGACACTATGACTCCTTCTCACTCTGTGATCAATGATGTCTCCTTAGGACAAATGTGTTGATTTATGCTACTAGAGAGCTGAAAAACTAGACTGAGTTTTAGATCATCTATATTTCTTTAAAGAAAAATGGGATATAGAATTCACTGTCTCTGAAAAGCCCTAACCTTTAGCATGGTCTGCTTTAAGTATATAGTTTCATTTAAAATGAACATCTTGAATTCCCCTAGTTTTTTTTATTTTTTAGGATTTCTTTTTTTTTTTTTTGAGGAAGATTGGGCCTGAGCTAACATCTCTTGCCAATCTTCCTCCTTTTTTCCTTTTTTCTCCCCAAAGCCCCAGTAGATAGTTGTATGTCATAGTTGTACATGCTTCTAGTTGCTCTATGTGGGACGCTGCCTCAGCATGGCTTGATGAGTGGTGTGTAGGTCTGCACCCAGGATCCGACCCGGCGAACCCTGGGCCACTGAAGCAGAGCATGTAAACTTAACCGCTGCACCACCGGGCTGGCCCTCCGCATCCATTTTTGACAGATGAGCCAGAAGTGGCTGTTCTGTTTTCACATGCTTTAACTCATAGTACATACTGAAGGACAGTACTGCAGTAGAAGTGTGTACACTGTGTCTTTTCAGATGAACATAAATATAGTTAGGAAAGATTGGATTTAGGATGTGGATTTGGAGGTACAATGAGAAATGTTGACGTTTCCAAAGCTATTTTGAAGTATTGTACATTATATTATAACAGAGAATTGAGACTCAGTATGGAAGCTATGGATGAAAATCAGTTAAAAACTTTATATAAAGACTAAATTTAGAAATATGAAAGATCTAGAAAAATACAGAAAATTTTTTTTCACACTTTTGACATATATTTACTGGTGAACAAGTGATTGATCAAGATAATTTAAATTAATGGTGGTTTACCAAAAGGGTGTTTTAAAGCCATCTCCATAATGTAAGAATGTATTTATTTCTTTTTTGAGTAATTGCTGCCCTCTAGTGAGATTTTAATTTTTTGCTCGTAATAAAGTACCTATACCAAAATTCTCTTCAAGATGGAAATAACTGATCCTAATTTTCAAATATTTCAAACCTGATAATGTCTAATTCATTAATATGGTAAACATTTGGTTTTATAAAGAAAAATAATGCATTTGAAACACACAGTAGCCCTGTAGTCTCATAGGCTAAACAGGTATAACAGACTTACATAGCTGCAGTTGGCAAATATAAATGTGTTTTATTTGAATCCAAGTATAGTAAATTATCTTATTATGGAGACTTTTATATGTATATATATTTTTGGGGGGTAAGGAAGATTGACCCTGAGCTAACATCTGTGGCCCATCTTCCTCTATTTTATATGTGGGACGCCTGCCACAGCATGGCTTGATGAACAGTGTGCAGGTCTGTGCCTGGGATCTGAACCCTTGAACCCCGGGCCGCCGAAACGGAACAAGCAAAGCCAACCACTACGCCACTGGGCCGGCCCCGAAACTTGTATTTTAAGAGATGACGTATATTAAGTTTTAGTAGAGTGCCTCGCAAATAGTAAATACTGTATAATATTAGTACTTTTAGCAAGAATCTAGAACTTTCCATATAATCTAAGCTCTTGTAGGTATTAGGTTTTTTGGAACGTATTATCAGTAATTTTTTTTTAGTTGTCCATGCGGTGTTTCCTTGGTTAGAAACTTCCTGGTGAACTATAAAATAGTATCTTCTTTCATGTCTTTAGTATAAGTTATAATTAGGTAAAGATGTAATTCACTTCTCCCATAGTTTTTGTATAAAAATGAATATTAGTTTAATTTTAATCATATAGATTAGATTTTGAAGGTATTTTGAGCTTTAAAATAGTACAAATATCAAAATTGAATTATCTTTCTAAAACTGATGACTTTGTTTCTTGCTTGGTTTTGTATATCTTATGACTTAATATTTTACCGAAAAATATATTATCTCTTCACAGTGGTATTGATGCTCTATTGGGATTAAAACCATTCGTAGAAGAAATCCTCCAAGGAAAACACCTGACTTTGCCTTTTCAAGGGGTTGACACTTTTGGGAATCAGGTTGGATTTGTGAAGCTGGCAGATGGAGATCACGTAAGCCCGCTCTTGCAGATAGCAGGTAAAACAAACAGCAACGCCCTCAGCAATGATGAAATCTCATCATTGAAGAGGCAATATTTTTTTTTCCAGTTCTTGTAATAGAGATTTGACATCTTTTGATTTTTTACTCTATAATTGAGCTGCTTCAGCCTTTGCCATGTATGTAAGTAGCCACATAAAAGGCCTGAAGAGTTACCTTGATTCTTAGGTCTGAGGACTGTGTTGATCCCAGGGCTGTCTGGAAGGTGATGGGCTGGACTCAAGTATTTGTTGAGACTGTCCTACTCATAAGTCTGAAGGATCCCAGTGGTTATCTTGACATACCACATGCAGTTGACATTTGAAAAGTATTGAATGAATGAACAAAAATCACCAGTTGCCCATTCAGAGCCTTGTGGGTATTAGCTTCATCCCAGAGTCAGTCGATGAAGCAGCAACCTTTTCCCCTGGCTACCTTCTTTTCTCCCTGTTTAGGTATCACTCTCTGAGCAGAAGGTCCACTGGTGATGGTAGAAGGTCTCACCTCCATTGGAGAACACATTACTCTGTGCAGTACCATTGAAAGTGTTAGGGAGGTAGAAGCAGAAAATTATGTCACCTGGATGAGTGACTTGAGAGTTTGATCCTGAGAGCATAGTTTGGATGTTAGCCTATATGCTGTAAACAGTTTTTATTTTCATTTCCTTTCATATCCTGTGAAGTCATTTCATGTCATCTCATTTTGGGTTCAATAATCTTTGGTTTGTAGCACACTCTCATCATTGGTCCATGCTTGGTCCACTTTTATCTATTATCTATCTATTTTAAAATAATATAATTATCAGCTAGGAATCCACCACCCCAAACAAAAGCTAGGACCTTGGTAGTAATCTAATCACATTGTCCTTTTTATTAATCTATCCCCTGGCCTTCCTTCATTCAAGCTAACCATTATCCTGAAGTTGGTATTTCTTATTTCCTTGTATTCTCCCCAAATATATGTGTTTTTAATTGGTTTTAACTTTATAAAAAGGGTATCATGTTGTATGTGATCGTTTTAGACATACTTTTAAAACTTAATAATGTCTTTATGCAGTTTTGTAGTTACCCATCCAAAAATACAGCTCTTTTTGGGGTTGGGAGTCATAAGGATCAGGTTTTATTTCATTGTTTGTTAAGTTTTTCTTTTGTGGAGCAAAGTATGCATAAATAAACAGACAAGCAAACAAACAATATTTATGGGTCAAGTAGAACTTAAAATCATTAGTTTGCCAAGGAGAAGGCAACTCTAACAGTTTTGATGGCAAATCATTTGGGAACTGCTGCCCACGTTAACAAAATTAATCTGTTTTTCCTGACTACTCTGGAGAAAACGCTAGATTCAGGTCTTCTTTTGTCATATAAATATCTGTGAGCTCAAGAAACATTTCTAATTAGTCATTCATTCATTGTTCTTTCAAATAGTTCAATGGGTGTTTGCAACATTGAGAATTCCATCCATTCTTAGCAAATATTCTCACAAAGGCAGTTTCCAATATTGATGAAAGGTCCATTGTATGCTGGGGAATGTGAAGTCTCACCAACTTTAATAGGACTGTGAACCCAAGGATGTTGGTTTGTCATTTGAGAAAAGGCCACTGCCCCTGTATGTAATTCCTTTCTTGATGCCAGACTGTCGCTTAAAAATATATATACTTTCCCCCAAATTTAAACAAAACATTACAAAAAATGGAAAATAGGGAAGAACAGCACTGTGTCCTCCTCCTATAATCACTGTTATATTTGCTTTTCATCTTTTATGTGTATATTGTCCTGTTGCTTTTGGTGATAGTTTTTATGCACTTTTATAGGAAATCTAAATATTTGAGTATGTATATGGAAAATTTTCATTGAAGTTTAGTTGGAGCCTCCATTTGTATAGTGTTCAGGTAGTCAGAATGTTCAATACACAGAATTTTTGTCAATATTGTGCTTCATTAGATTTATTTTTAAAAGAATCCCCCAGGATTAGTATTGCTTTAGTCCAGTAGAATCAGTAAAATAATTTAATATTTGTTTTTGTGTCATTTTATAAAGTATCTATTCAGATAATATATTCTAATTTTCAGAAGAATATATTCCATTGACCAGGCTACTACATTCCTTAAAACTTTATAAAAACTAGATATATGTATCTGCATATACAGTAGTATTAAAATTGTATTCATTCAAAATAGTGGAGGCAGAGCCAGTTTGATTTAATGGAAAGCAGGAGAATTTTTAAAGAAAATAAATTTAATTATTAAAGTATTTATAAAGAAGTTAAGTTTAAGTACATGTGATGAAGTAAAACTAACTTGAAAAATACTTAAAAATTATAATTCATGAATAGTCTGGCTTTCCTAATTTGCGTAGAGTTTTTAGATTTACAGGTTAAACGAAACAACTTCTTGGCCCAGCCCAGTGGCGTAGTGGTTAAATTTGCCCGTTCCACTTTGGTGGCCTGGGGTTCGCAGGTTCGGATCCTGGGCACAGACCTACACACCACTCATCAAGCCATGCTGTGGGGGCGTCCCATGTACAAAATAGAGGAAGATGGGCACAGATGTTAGCACAGGGCTAATTTTCCTCAGCAAAAAGAAGATTGGCAATGGATATCAGCTTAGGGCCAATCTTAGGGCCAATCTTCCTCACCAAAAAACAAAAAACCAAATTCTTAAAATATTAAATAGTTGTTATGAAAAAAGGACAGAATTTTATTTTATTTTATTTTATTTTATTTATTTTTTTTTTTTAAAGATTTTATTTATTTATTTTTCCCCAAAGCCCCGGTACATAGTTGTCTGTCATAGCTGCACATCCTTCTAGTTGCTGTATGTGGGACGCGGCCTCAGCATGGCTGGAGGAGTGGTGCCTCGGTGCGCACCCGGGATCCGAACCCGGGCCGCCGGCAGCGGAGCGCACGCACTTAACCACTAAGCCACGGGGCCGGCCCAAGGACAGAATTTTAGACACTGATATTTAAACTCATTACTGAAAATTTGCAGGATAAAAAGTAATTTAGAATTTTTAATGTGTAAAATTGAAGAAAATTATTGTACATTTTAAACTAATAGAGTCTGAAGTGATGAGCTTTGACCATCAATACTTGAATTATGCATCCGGAAATGCTGCTGTGAACTGTCATTTTTGGTAGATACTGGTGGGCTGGAGACCAAGCCCATCTTTGCACGGCATGTGCATGTAGGTTATGGTGGAGCTGCCCGAGGGGGCGGGTCAGGTGGATGGCATCAGCTTCCTACCTTGACCTTGAGTGATCCTGTTTTTCCAGAGTAAAGCGGCCCCTTCTTCTGTCCCAGCATTACACAGTAGCTCATAGAGCTAAGAAGAGATTGGAAATTATGCATTTATATGGCACTTCTCCACATTTTACAGTGATGAAATTGCACTTAAGAGCTTTTTCAAAGAAATGAATATGTGATTTCATTCATTTTTTTCAGCGAAATGTAATTTTGTTAAGACGTATGTTAGATCAAGAGATTGCTAAAAATTTAGCCTGCTGGAATTATAATGGTCCTTGCAAATCTTTTTTGTAAAATGAGAAAAGTGCCCTTGGTTAGCATGATAAAAGATTCCAAATGCATTTATCTCATAAAAGGAAAAATGAAAGGTTTTTAGGATGTTCATTTGAGCATTACACTTTCTCTTATTTTGACTGTCATTTCCTCCGAAAGATGGAGAGAATATGCCTTGTGTTTTCTGAGCCTTATGGGCCATCTGTTCGGTTGCTGGTACCTTTGGGCCCTTCTAGACTGCTCGGTTACCACATGAAGTCATGGACCTCTAACCACCACAGGCGGGTGGGCGTCCCAGCAGCCTGTTGACCCCTCCCTTTAATGGCCTGGACTAGGCTCTCTTCAGAGACAGCAGAACACCTTAGCCACACTTCATCTAGAACTAAGCAGAGAGCAGCTTTTCTCCCCGACCAGGATGTCTGAATCACAGTCCTGGACCGTGGAGGACCGTCAGAGCCTCTGTTTCCCGCCCTGCCTCTGTGCAGGCCCTGGGAGGTGCAGGTCCTCCACACTTCCTTCCCTTTCTCACCTCTCTTTTAACCCTTTCCATTGTCCCTGTAGGGGAGGAAAATTGTTTTTCCTTTTACCCTCCTAGCTCTCCTGTTGGGACTCTGTAAAATTAGACTGACAAAAGATTACCAAGAGAACACAAACAATTTGTTAACACGTGCAGCTCACATCACGTGGGAGAAACCTCAGTGAAGAGTATCTCAGTGGGCTTAGGACCTGGGCTAACACAGCGTCTTAACAAAAGAAGGGTACGTTTGTGGAAAAGTGACAAGACGAAGGAAAGGGCTCTAGGCTTTGGAGGGCGTGGCCTGGGGCAAGGTGAGTCTGTGGGGGCTCTAGTGGAGCAGGCTTTGTTTGCACTGGGCCGCCTTGGCCGTAAGCTTCCCCAGAGAGGGCGTTTTTGGTAGTCTTCATTGTTCAGAAGTTTCTGCTTTTCGTCGGGTGAGGCTGCTCCAGGAAGCTTTCTTTCTGCGTCTGTGGATTCCATTTGCCTCTAGCTCAAAATAATTCTCATGCCCAAGTGGCATATTTAGGGGTGGCGTATTCTGATTCCCTACATCCACTCTCTTATTTTACTTTATTTTCAGTCAAACACTTAAATGAATTTACTTGGTGCCAGACGTTGTTCTGATCATCTTACAAATATTAACTCATTTAGTCTTAACAGCTCTCTGAAATAGGGACCGTTATTGTCACCCCCATTTCACAGATAGGGAAACTGAGGCACAAAGAGGCTAAGTAATTTGTTAGTAAGTCGTAGAGCCAGGACTCAAATCTAGGCAGTCTGGCTCCAGATTCTGTGTTCTTTTTCTTTTTTAATTGTTATTATTACTTGTTATAATGCATATGTGTGTGATATATAATATACATAAAGAACAATATTTGATACAGAGTAAATGCTCAATCAACAAATGTTAGCTGTCCTTATCATCGTCATGAAATAGTCTCCAAAAGCATTACTTTTACTGGTTGTGTG